GAAAAAAACAGAAAATGAGGAAAGTGATGAATGGCAATTATTTCTTGCAAAGTGGAATGATATAGTTCAATCAATAACAGAAAATGAATTTAATGAAAAATGGCAAATATTTTGTTCTACTTACGCAAATAAACCTTGCATTGTCACTTATCTTGAAAATACTTGGATGCCATGGAAGAAGAAATTTGTAAAGGCATAGACAAATGAATTTTTTCATTTAGGAACTACTGTAACTTCCCGCGTTGAAGGCGCACATTCAACTCTTAAAGCTAACTTACAAGTATCAACAGGGGATCTTTATCGGGTTCACATGACAATCTCTTTAATGGTAACTAATCAAAAAAAAGAGATTGACAGTATGGTTGCATCAAATCGTATTCATCTTCCGATTTTTACACATAATAATCCATTATATGCAAACATTAAAGGTAGAGTTTCAATATTTGTTCTCAAAAAAATAAATAAGCAATATCAGAAGGCAGCCCACGCAACTATACAGGAACCTTTACCACCATGTATCAAATCTTTTTCAAAAACAATGGGTCTGCCTTGTACTCATAATATTTAACATTTGGATAATAACCAGAGTCTAATTATTGATAATATTCATAAACATTGGTGGATTCAAGGATATTCATTGGTACCACAAGCTGATGAAAACACCTCTCTTCATGAAGATACTCTGCAACCTCTTCTACGAAATCTACAAAAGAGATACCAAGAATGGCCTAAATTTCAACAAGTAGCAGCACATGTAATATTAGACAACATGATTAATGCCCCATTGATGGTTTTGCAAAATCCCAAAGTCATTCCTACAAGAGGACGTCCTTCTGGTACTACTAATAAACGATCAACTAACTCAACCAAAAGAGATCCTTCTGGATTTGAGTTTGTGGTTCAAAAGTGAGGCAATGTGCTGTTTGCCATCGGCCTGGACATAATTCTCGTACTTGTCAACTAAATGGAAATTAAAATAAATCATTTAGTTTGTTTCTGCTTTAATAAATAAATACAAAACCTTATTCTGTTCTTTTTCTTAAAGAATAAATCAATACTTGACTTACCAATATAAATGTTTAATTT